TTGCGGCTGTTGCTGCTGCTTGGGTCGCTTGACGAAATGTCGGAAGTAGCCCTGCTGGATGAGGTCTTCTATTTGTCTCTTCAAAACGTGACACTCATCCGTATCGTGTCCGGCATGCCTATGAAACCTGCAGTACTTTGTTTGGTCTGCCTTTGGGGAGACCTTCATGCACTCCTCGGGGAATTCTACCATTCCCATCACCTCAGCTTGCTTTAGAATGACACTGACGGGATGGGTAAGAGGAGTCAAATTACGCAAGGGGACCAGGCGAGGCCGTTCGTGGTCTCGGCCTTTCCCTGCGGTCGGGTGGTTCGAGAGTGGTGCCTGGCTGGGCGGACCAGCTTTCCCAGGCTTCCCATCTTTCCTACCATCCTCTTCGTCCTTCTTCTTCCTGTCGACGTCCTCTGCTTCGGCATAGCGGCTAGCCGTCCTCATCAGATCTTCGTAAGAGCGAGGGTGGTGAGCGTTCAGCTGCTTGTGGAAATACCCTGATCTTAAGGCATGGATAAATATCGTGATCGCCGCCTTGGAGTCGAAGTCGTAGACATTATTGACTTCCTTTTTCCATTTGATCAGGAAGTCTTTGAGGCTCTCGCCTCTATCTTACTTCACTACACAGAGGTGAGAAAAGGGTTTCTTGCGATGTATGCTACCGGAGAAGTATGTTAGGAAGCTCTTGGATAACTCCCCAAAGTTTTGGATCGACCCATCTGGGATGGTGTTGAACCAGTCTTGGGCCGCTCCATCCAGTGTGGACAAGAACGCTCGGCACATGATGGCGTCCCCTGCCCCGATCATTACCATAGCAGCCTTGTACCTCGTCATGTGGATACGTGGGTCAGTGGCCCCCGTGTACTCCTTGATGGCGGGCAACCTAAAGTCCCTCGGCAAAGGTACGTCCATGATGCGAGGGGAGAATGGTGCTGCCATCCGTACCTCAGGTTCCGGCGACTGCTCCCGTGCCTCCACCCTTCTTGCTAACTCCTCGATTCTTCTCTGCAGCTTCTCGACCAGGGCCGACTCGTCAGGGTGCCGACGCGGGGCCGGCTGCCGCTCCTCCATGTGTCGGCGTGGAGCTAGTTCATCGACGTGCTGTCTATCTGAGTGTCGACGCGGAGCGGGTTCCTCGACGTTCCGTCCATCCAAGTGTCGGTGTGGGACCCGCTCATCAGCGCGTCGCTTCTCCGCCGAGTGCCGACGCAGAGCCGGCTCATCGACGCGTCGCTCCTCCAAGTGTCGACGTAGGGCCGACTCATCAACGTGTCGGCGTGGGGTCGGCTCCCGAGACTCGCCCACCTCCTCTGTGGGTGATCTCTCGGCTTGTCTGTTCTCGTGTTGGCGAGGGCCTCTGGTAGAGGACCCCTCGGCCCGTGATCCTAATCTTTGCCGCACGGGCACCCTCTGTCCCAATCGTTCTGGCGCAGATTGGGAAGGGCCTGGTTGTCGTCTGGCCGGTCCACTTCTTTGGGCCTCTACCCCTATTTGCTGGGGCCGCGGCGTGGGCACTTGGCCTTGCAGTCCCACCGCCACCTGATTTAGCGCCGCCGTCACTGCTTGCTGAATGATATCGGCGGTCGCCTGGAGGTTCACGGCTTGGTTCACCCCCCATTGTTGAGTTGGTCTCGAAGGTCCCCGGGCCTCCCGTTCACGGCTTGGTTTACCCCTCCATTGTTGAGTTGGTCTCGAAGGTCCCCGGGCCTCCCGTTGTTGAGCTGTTCTCGGAGGTCCCCTCCGCGATTGTTGGTGAGTTGGTCCCGGAGGTCACCTGAGGCATTGCCATTGTTCACGTTGCGAGAACCGTGGGAGCTGCGGGACGCCATTCTTTCAGGCTTGCTGTTGAAAGAGAAAAAGAGTAGTGTTGTAGCCTGCTTGAGTATTGGACTCAGGCTCTCAATGAAAGCACCAATGACGGTAATAACGTTACCGGTAAATAATAATATAACAATGCTATAAGAGAATACGATAGTTGTATTGCTTTTGTCTCAGTATAAAAAGTACAATGTGTCCATTGCTAGCTGAGAGGAGTCCCATTTATACTTAGAGTCCTAACGGTAACAACATGGGATATAAATGGGGAGCCTAGCCTTTTAACTCTCTCTCATCAATGGGGACTTCAATGTTGGCTTCAATGGTAGTAAAGTGGCACCTGTTGGAATTCCTGACCGTTGGAGTTCTGCCCGTTGGGTTCCCATGTGATGCTGAGTCAATGCCCATTTGTGATCCGGGTCGGGTGCCAGCCCTATTATCCTGTCAATAATAATAATAATAATAATAATAATAATAATAATAATAATAGTAATAGTAGTAGTAGTAGTAATAGTAATATTAATAGTAGTAATAATAATAATAATAATAATAATAATAATAATAACAATAACAATAACAATAATAATAATAACAATAACAATAACAATAACAATAATAATAATAATAATAATAATAATAATAATAATAATAATAATAATAATAATAATAATAACAATAATAACAACAACAACAACAATAATAATAATAATAATAATAATAATAATAATAATAATAATAATAATAATAATAATAATAATAATAATAATCAATTTTAATTAGTCATTAGTTACCTTATTTCTTGTGAATCGATACCTCATCATAATACTTCCAAAGTTTAGAAATGTAGTTTATATTATCTTAAAATGCTACATTTAGTCACATGCATAAACAAACACCAAAAAGTTTGTGTTCTCATTTCATTAGAGAAGAAAAAACAAAAACAAAAATAACGTTAAAACCATTGGCATGAAATGAATTTCAAATATGTATGTAAATGTAATATATTACGTACTAGAATATGTAAAAAAAAAAAGAAAAAGAAAAAAAAAAGTGTCAAATTAAGCTTTTGAATTTTAAAAAGTTTCAATAATTAAATACTTGAATTTAGAGAAATTGTGCAATTAACCAATTTTTTACCCTATTTTGATAATAACCTTCCAATTTATGTTACCTCATATACTAATGTTGCTTATCTGACATTGTTTACAAAATTTTAAATCCTTTTTTCTTCAATTCCATTTTGGCAGAAGTGTCAAATAGCCCCATCTACTATCACGAAGTGCTCAATTCCCCCCACGAATCAAAATAAAGTCTAATTAGCCACACTTACTAACTAAAATTGTGCGTTTGGCTTTTTTAATAGGTTGTCAACCGGTTCCCTATCCAGGTGGATGACATGGAAAATAATATTATTAATGAGAGATAATGACATGGAATATATTCTTTGCAGCATTCGTTCTTAAACAGAGCTAGGGTTCGACAAGCTCTCCATTCTGCAATCTTCAATCGCGATAGCTTAGGTTTCCATTTTCCTGGGCTTCGTCATTTCTTCAACAGAGGTAGGGTTCGTCAAGCTCAAAGTGTATAACGCCATCCCCGACTTCTTCAATCGCGATAGCAGCTACGGTTCGTCAAGCTTCAAGTGTATAATGTCAACATCTTCGGCTTCATCTAGCGTGCGAACTAACTTGGAGTATGAGCCTTCTATGTACTGTAGGTGTGGATTGAAGGCTCCAATCTGCACAACCAGAGATTCTGGGAAAAAATTTTATGGATGTCAAAGGTGGAAGGTGAGTTTAGATCCTTAATTTGTTTTTGATTCTGAGATTAAATTTGTTTTTGATTATGAGAAAATTTGTTTTGAATTAGTTCAAGAGGGTCTTGGGTGTGGTTTTTTCGTTTGGAAAGAAACTGAAAACACATGTGGAATGGAGGAATTGAAGAAATTGGTTGCAAGCATGAGGGCTGAATTGATGAGTGAAATAGTAGTTCTACGTGCAATGATTGAGAGTGAATTGCAGCGGAGGAAATTGAAGGAGAAGAAAGCTGTAAAGAGAAAATGGATTTTGATTTGTTTTTTAATTGTGTTAGTTTTAGTTAAGATTATGTTGTAGTGTGAATTTGTAGACAATTATGATGATTTTGTAGTGAATCTTGTTGTAGTCAATCGAATGGCATCTATAGTTTTTGTATTGTAATTTTGCATATTCTCTTTTTAGATAGATTAACAGAATTAATCAACTGTCAGAGATTACTGATTGATTCATTTATGAAGTCAGTCAGTAATAATAAATAGTGGAGAAGATGTAACAGAAAGATAAGAGCACACACCCAACGACACAGAATATTTACCCAATTCGATACAGTGTGTATCTACGTCTGGGGGACGATCACATAGGCGTCCAATCCACTAAATTATAATCTAATGTACAAAGGTAGATATACAACAATCTTACCCAAGTGCCCCACACAAGGTACATACCCAGTCTACACCGGTTTAGTGGATTGTTGAAGACGGAGAGCCATGCATACAGAAGTCCAATGAAATCGCTTCACTTGGAGAGCCCACTCTGATGCAGTCCACTTCAATGACGCTCTTTATAGTTGTTCCCACAACAGTGTGATCACAGTGTCCTTTCGTTTAAGCAGCAGTGATTCTTCTCAAGTTCATCATCTTAATCACCATGAACATATTGTATTGAGAAGATACATGACAATCAAAGATCTAATCTCATATAGCAGATGGGGAGTGTTTCTTCATATATTCGGCGTAACCCTAAATCTCTTCGAGTACGGGTACTTATAGATTCTTCAATAAACTCTCTCCATAAAAGACTTTGATTGTAGAAGGTAGGACCATAAAAGAGGAATGTAATCTCAGAAGATTAGGTCCATACCTTTCTTGAAAAAATACGCTGATATTCTTTCCAAACTTGTCTGATAATACCGCGTAAGACTTTTAGAAATCAGCTTCCTAAATCAAATCTTCAGTGTCAGTCCTTCTGTTGTTGCTTCTGATTGATCAGTCGTCTGTAGAGCTGGACGGACAAACTCTAAACCTATCTTAGTATGCCATAATAATATTGCCAATTATAATATGGGATTTTTGAACATTTAAAAACACTAACAAACTCCCCCTTTGGCTATTATTTGGCAAAACAACTCGACTATATAGATAGACAAAACATAAAGATCTAAGATAGGTTATTATAAAGAAGCAACCCATGAGTCTGATCTGATTACGTACATAGAACAAAAACAAAAACATAAGATCCAAAACAGTTTATGATCAAAAGCAAGAAATGGTGTCATAAAAAACAATGCCCAGCTAGGGCCAGAAGGTACTCAATCACAAAAACTCCCCCTGAGTGCATACTATTCCCCCTTTTTGCCAATGATAGCCAAAGGTCAAGCATTGGAGGGAGTGTCACTGTCAGACTTCGCAGGATCAGCAGCAGCAGCAGATTCTGATAGGCTTAAACGAAGTAGAACGGTTGCTAGCTCAGTACGGGCCCCTGTCAGTTGCTTTGCAATAATGCCATGTACTGTCTCAAGATCAGCGACCCTTGCCTTCAACTGTATGGAAAGCTGAACATCCTTAGCATGAGGAGAGTCATCAGACACAGCATCAGGTTCAGAATTGGATGGGGCAGACACAGGAACAACATCCCGAATGTGATCTCCAGTCAGCAGACGTTTATCAACAGTATAGAGCAGTGTTGGACTGATCACCTCACTAGGCATAGGCTCAAGACCCTGAGTGGTAAGAATGCCAAAAATCAGATTTGGGAAGGGTAGTCTTACCTTCTGTTCCCGTGGATGAATTAAGGTAAGAATGTGATAGTAAATCCATTTTCCCAGATCAATAGGCATCTTCGTTCCAATGCGAAATAAGAATCCTGCCAGTAACTTGCCAACAGTGTGGAAATGGGCTGATGGGAGCCAATTGTGAAGGGCCAGCCGATGTAAAATCACATATCTGGATGTGAGATGCGAGCTCTGCAGATAGTCCTTATCTCCTGTAGGCCATGATTTTGTCTGTCCACCAGTAAGAGTTCTGGCCACCAAGTTCCAGTCAGTGACAGGGTCTTCTTGCACAACAGTCAAACCATAGTATTCATTGATCATGTCCGGTCCAAAAAGGTACCACCTTTCTCTAATGAAAATCTGCATCGGTCGTGGCCCAGATAGGATTTCAATCTCGTCATTGAGATTACAATAGAATTCATACGTGAGAAGCTTAGAGTATGGGCAGATGTTCGTGACAGACTTCAACAATCCGACTTCATTCAACAAAGGTAAAATTTCACATACAGAATTCAGCTGGTTCTCATCCACAGATCGTTGAACAATAAGATCCCTTCTAACCATGGTAGACCATTTGGTCTGAGCAGCAGGAGAAACAAACTGAGGCCTGTAAACAGATGGATCAGTTTCTTCGACAGGTTGAACCTCAGGAGTAATGCTTCGTCCTCTTGATCATGTGGATGGCTTCCCTTTTTTGACAGATGGTGCAGGTACAGAAGTGACTTGAACAGCAGGCCCCTTTTGCTTAACAGACGATCACAGAGTCTTGAACACTTGTTGAATTGGCGGATTTTCTTCCGGCTTAACATCCTCATCGACTTCCTTTTCTTCTCAGGCTGATCCACATCAGCACTGTCATCACCAGTCTCAACAACAACCTTTACTGGAACATTCTTCCTTTTAGACCTTCTTGGTTCTTTGGATGGGGATTGAACAGGAGTCACAGAGAGACTGGAATCAGAAACATTGGCAGATGAGCTCTCAATAATATTCGAAATTTCACGAATTTTGAAGGTCGTGGAGTCAGGATGAGCAGTGGCCTCAATAGTTGGAATATCAGATGGAGGTGCTTGAGATCCATACACTTCAGCCAGTATTTTATCATCTTCGCTGGAAGATTCGGAAGGGTGAATCACTTGATACGGTTGAGGGATTGAAGCAGATGGTAGACCAGCAAAATGTCTCACATGTTCCAAACTTTCGCCTAATGATATGGCAGTGTAGACTGGGATTCCACCTGTTTTCTCAGACTTGTGGGGGCTTGATAGATCAACAGATTCAACATTAGCAGGTAAGACAGGAGTGTCAACGACAGAACAGACTTCCTTAGGGTCATCAGCTATTTCAGCCGGAGGCAGAGCAACATTATCATAAGCATAAACAACTAAACTCAATTTATTTGGCTCATAAGAGGACTTTTCTTTCTCATCAGACACATGCAAGACAACAGTTTTCACACCAACAGACTCACTCACAGGCAGAGATGTAGAATCAACATTCACAGGGGGATTCTCGGAATCCAAAGCAGTTAAATTTTCAGAAATAACAGGCACACAAGATGGGGTAGCAGAAACATCAGGTTTATCTGGTGAAATTTCAATAGGAGTTTCAGAGCTTGATGATGATATTTCTTACCAGGTCCGCCATTGGAGAAATTTTTGTGAGAGGAGAGAAATACAATTCTGAGAGCAGATAAGCTGAGAGAGAAAGGGTTTGAGTGCTGAGATGATTGAAAGCCTGTTCTCTTCGTGGCCCGGTATCAAATAGACTAAAGGGTGAAGAACCCTAATCAATGCGGCTTGTCAAATATCATGCAGACGCGATTGATTGACACAACGGTACAGCTTCTTTTTAGGAAGGAAACGGAACCCAAGGACATTTGAATTTTGAAAAAAAAAGATTAAAATCTTTTTGAGATATCATTAAGGCCAAAATAACACCACTTAACTAAAATAGAGAGGAGTCTTCAAAAAGTCAAATCATAATACTGACCCGTGTACACCACTCCTCTCTGATTGACCAACTGCTTTAATTAGTCAATTCTGCAAATTCTCATAGCAGACCTGAGAATTTCAAAACGATTGGCGTCCAGTGGCTTAGTTAGAATATCCGCTAGTTGTTTGTCAGTTTGAATGTATTCCAATTCAATTTCCTTGGATTCAACCAAGTCTCTGATGTAATGATGCCTGATGTCAATATGCTTTGTTCTGGAATGTTGAACTGGATTCTTGGAAATATTAATAGCACTGACATTGTCACAATAGAGTGTATTATCCCTTGTGTGAGACCATAATCTAGGAACATTTGTTTCATCCAAACCAACTGAGTACAACATCCTCCTGCAGCTATGTATTCTGCCTCTGCAGTGCTTAGTGAAATTGAATTCTGTTTCTTGCTTAGCCATGATACTAAGTTTTTACCAACAAAGAAGCATCCCCCGGAAGTACTGTTTCAGTCATCAATATTTCCTGCCCAATCAGCATCACAGTAGGCAACCAGACTTAGTTCACTGTCCTTGGAGTACCAGAGACCATACTGCATCGTTCCTTTAATATATTTCAGAATGTGTTTTGCAGCTATCAAGTGTGATTTCTTTGGGTCAGATTGATACCTTGCTCAGATTCCAACACTGAACATTATGTCTGGTCGACTGGCTGTTAGATACAACAGACTCCCTATCAAGCTGCGATAAACTGTGTGACAGGATAATAGGGCTGGCACCCGACCCGGATCACAAATGGGCATTGACTCAGCATCACATGGGAACCCAACGGGCAGAACTCCAACGGTCAGGAATTCCAACAGGTGCCACTTTACTAACATTGAAGCCAACATTGAAGTCCCCATTGATGAGAGAGAGTTAAAAGGCTAGGCTCCCCATTTATATCCCATGTTGTTACCGTTAGGACTCTAAGTATAAATGGGACTCCTCTCAGCTAGCAATGGACACATTGTACTTTCTATACTGAGACAAAAGCAATACAACTATCGTATTCTCTTATAGCATTGTTATATTATTATTTACCGGTAACGTTATTACCGTCATTGGTGCTTTCATTGAGAGCCTGAGTCCAATACTCAAGCAGGCTACAACACTACTCTTTTTCTCTTTCAACAGCAAGCCTGAAAGAATGGCGTCCCGCAGCTCCCACGGTTCTCGCAACGTGAACAATGGCAATGCCTCAGGTGACCTCCGGGACCAACTCACCAACAATCGCGGAGGGGACCTCCGAGAACAGCTCAACAACGGGAGGCCCGGGGACCTTCGAGACCAACTCAACAATGGAGGGGTAAACCAAGCCGTGAACGGGAGGCCCGGGGACCTTCGAGACCAACTCAACAATGGGGGGGTGAACCAAGCCGTGAACCTCCAGGCGACCGCCGATATCATTCAGCAAGCAGTGACGGCGGCGCTAAATCAGGTGGCGGTGGGACTGCAAGGCCAAGTGCCCACGCCGCGGCCCCAGCAAATAGGGGTAGAGGCCCAAAGAAGTGGACCGGCCAGACGACAACCAGGCCCTTCCCAATCTGCGCCAGAACGATTGGGACAGAGGGCGCCCGTGCGGCAAAGATTAGGATCACGGGCCGAGGGGTCCTCTACCAGAGGCCCTCGCCAACACGAGAACAGACAAGCCGAGAGATCACCCACAGAGGAGGTGGGCGAGTCTCGGGAGCCGACCCCACGCCGACACGTTGATGAGTCGGCCCTACGTCGACACTTGGAGGAGCGACGCGTCGATGAGCCGGCTCTGCGTCGACACTCGGCGGAGAAGCGACGCGCTGATGAGCGGGTCCCACACCGACACTTGGATGGACGGAACGTCGAGGAACCCGCTCCGCGTCGACACTCAGATAGACAGCACGTCGATGAACTAGCTCCACGCCGACACATGGAGGAGCGGCAGCCGGCCCCGCGTCGGCACCCTGACGAGTCGGCCCTGGTCGAGAAGCTGCAGAGAAGAATCGAGGAGTTAGCAAGAAGGGTGGAGGCACGGGAGCAGTCGCCGGAACCTGAGGTACGGATGGCAGCACCATTCTCCCCTAGCATCATGGACGTACCTTTGCCGAGGGACTTTAGGTTGCCCGCCATCAAGGAGTACACGGGGGCCACTGACCCACGTATCCACATGACGAGGTACAAGGCTGCTATGGTAATGATCGGGGCAGGGGACGCCATCATGTGCCGAGCGTTCTTGTCCACACTGGATGGAGCGGCCCAAGACTGGTTCAACACCATCCCAGATGGGTCGATCCAAAACTTTGGGGAGTTATCCAAGAGCTTCCTAACATACTTCTCCGGTAGCATACATCGCAAGAAACCCTTTTCTCACCTCTGTGTAGTGAAGCAAGATAGAGGCGAGAGCCTCAAAGACTTCCTGATCAAATGGAAAAAGGAAGTCAATAATGTCTATGACTTCGACTCCAAGGCGGCGATCACGATATTTATCCATGCCTTAAGATCAGGGTATTTCCACAAGCAGCTGAACGCTCACCACCCTCGCTCTTACGAAGATCTGATGAGGACGGCTAGCCGCTATGCCGAAGCAGAGGACGTCGACAGGAAGAAGAAGGACGAAGAGGATGGTAGGAAAGATGGGAAGCCTGGGAAAGCTGGTCCGCCCAGCCAGGCACCACTCTCGAACCACCCGACCGCAGGGAAAGGCCGAGACCACGAACGGCCTCGCCTGGTCCCCTTGCGTAATTTGACTCCTCTTACCCATCCCGTCAGTGTCATTCTAAAGCAAGCTGAGGTGATGGGAATGGTAGAATTCCCCGAGGAGTGCATGAAGGTCTCCCCAAAGGCAGACCAAACAAAGTACTGCAGGTTTCATAGGCATGCCGGACACGATACGGATGAGTGTCACGTTTTGAAGAGACAAATAGAAGACCTCATCCAGCAGGGCTACTTCCGACATTTCGTCAAGCGACCCAAGCAGCAGCAACAGCCGCAACACAATCCACCAAAAAATGTCTGGAGGAATGAGGATGGCACCGAGCCGTCCACCTCAAACGCCAAAAAAAGAGACCACGACCAAATATCTAAGCAGAGTGATAGCGAGAAAGAAACCGAGGTGGCGCCCAGACGACAAAAGAGGCACACCATACACTTTATCTATGGTGGACCTGCAGGGGGCGACACGCCCGCGGAAAGAAAGAAGTGGAGCCGGCGGCTATACGTGGGAGAAGTGGCGAGTCTTCCCAGAGAAAAGAAACAGAGACAGGAGGCCATCACCTTCTCTGATGATGACCTCCCAGAGGGCCCGTTACCCCATCGTGACGCCCTGGTAATTGAGATGGACGTCAATGATGTCATTATCTGCCGCATCTTAGTCGAAATGACGGTAATAACGTTACCGGTAAATAATAATATAACAATGCTATAAGAGAATGCGATAGTTGTATTGCTTTTGTCTCAGTATAAAAAGTACAATGTGTCCATTGCTAGCTGAGAGGAGTCCCATTTATACTTAGAGTCCTAACGGTAACAACATGGGATATAAATGGGGAGCCTAGCCTTTTAACTCTCTCTCATCAATGGGGACTTCAATGTTGGCTTCAATGGTAGTAAAGTGGCACCTGTTGGAATTCCTGACCGTTGGAGTTCTGCCCATTGGGTTCCCATGTGATGCTGAGTCAATGCCCATTTGTGATCCGGGTCGGGTGCCAGCCTTATTATCCTGTCACCAGTCCCCCCTACTCATGCTGGGGCCGCGGCGTGGGCACTTGGCCTTGCAGTCCCACCGCCACCTGATTTAGCGCCGCCGTCACTGCTTGCTGAATGATATCGGCGGTCGCCTGGAGGTTAGGGATACTTAGGAACCAGCTCAAAGAAGTACGTACCCCACTCTCTGGATTTACGGGTGATTCAGTGGAGACGGAGGGGTCAGTGGTCTTACCAGTGGAGATAGGCACGAGCCCTAACATTCGCAAACTTGACTTGGAATTCATCGTGGTAAGACTCACTTGCGCGCACAACATCATATTGGGGAGACCAGCACTGGAGAACCTCAAGGCCATAGTGTCGGTGGAACACTTGTGTATGAAGTTCCCCACTCCGAGCAGGATAGGGGTCGTCAGAGGAGACCAGCGAGCGGCCCGCAGTTGTTACGTTAAAGCATGCAAAAAGATTGGCAGAAATGATCTATAAGTCCACACCATCTGTAAGGATGATCGATCGGGTATGGAGCTAGGAACATTTGATTAAGTATTTTCCTTAATATTCTAGTAGTCGTTTGGAACTGGTGTTTGGAAATCGCGGTCCGCCCGCTTTGCATTCTGAAATCTTTTGGAATAATATCTCGTGCTTGTGGTCCGCCCATGTTGTTTAAAAAAAAAAAAAAAAATGGCTGAGGGCGCGCCTCAGCCAAGGCCGAGGCACACGCCTCGGCCTCCTGGTCGAGGCCACGCCTCAGCCAAGTGGCCGAGGTCGCGTCTCGGCCACAGGCAGAAGCCGCGCCTCGGCCGCCTTGGCCCAGTGGCCGAGGTCACGCCTCGGCCACGAAAAAAAAAAAAAAAAGATCGGACGAGGCTACGCCTCGGCCGCGATCAGCCGAAGCGCACGCCTTGGCCACGATCGGTCGAGGCCACGCCTCGGCCACGGTCGGTCGAGGCGACGCCTCGGCCACGGTCGGTCGAGGCGACGCCTCGGCCACGGTCGGTCGAGGCGACGCCTCGGCCACGGTCGGTCGAGGCGACGCCTCGGCCACGGTCGGTCGAGGCGACGCCTCGGCCACGGTCGGTCGAGGCGACGCCTCGGTCACGGTCGGTCGAGGCGACGCCTCGGCCACGGTCGGTCGAGGCGACGCCTCGGCCACGATTAGTCGAGGGGTTGGCCGAGGCGCCCGCCTCGGCCAACGCCGAAATCCGTCTCGGTAAAAAAAAAAAAAAAAAAAAAAAACCACAATCGGTCGAGGCTACGCCTCGCCGCGATCAGCCGAAGCGCACGCCTCGGCCACGATCGTCGAGGCTACGCCTCGGCCACCTCAGTCGAGGCGCACGCCTCGGCCACGGTCGGTCGAGGCGACGCCTCGGCCACGATCAGTCGAGGCGACGCCTCGGCCACGCTCGGTTGAGGCGACGCCTCGGCCGGAGGCATGCACCTCGGCCAACCTAAGCCGCAGCCCGTCTCGGCCAGCATAAAAAAAATAATAATAAATAAATAAATTCATGTGTGATTTGGAAAATAAAATCACATACTCGGAATCAATCGGGATTCTACACAAGATCAAAACAGATTCAGCTTTACTCCCAAGTCAACTCAAACACATCCGTTGACTCATGAGTAGGGGGGACTGGTGACAGGATAATAGGGCTGGCACCCGACCCGGATCACAAATGGGCATTGACTCAGCATCACATGGGAACCCAACGGGCAGAACTCCAACGGTCAGGAATTCCAACAGGTGCCACTTTACTACCATTGAAGCCAACATTGAAGTCCCCATTGATGAGAGAGAGTTAAAAGGCTAGGCTCCCCATTTATATCCCATGTTGTTACCGTTAGGACTCTAAGTATAAATGGGACTCCTCTCAGCTAGCAA